ACCTGGGTTTTCAGTAGGAGGTCTAATTTAACTGTTAGGTCGGTAATTGTCCGCTGCTGGGCTTCGATGATCATCATCAATCTTTCATTGGTCTTCTTATCATCGTCCTTTTTTGACAGCTCCTGTCGAACCATCTCCAATTCGGCTCTCAGCTCCTCTATGGTCTGCTTCTTCGACTCCATCTCCATTGCCATGGTGGAAGCGCCATTTCCTGACCCCCCTGGGTCAGTTTCCATAGTAAATACCTCGGTTATCTCGCTTTTCGTCTAAAAAATTTTCCGGATCGAAATTACGGGACAGCTGCTATCAGTGCCCTACGATTCAGCTTTATAATCAACGTATATCAACGTCAAAGCATTGGACTCAGGTTATGGTGTATCGGTCCTTGGTGTGATTTCCAGATTTTGGGATATTTGGGTCACAACCACCAGTTTATGGAGTTGCACCTTTTTTTTTTTGTATTTACTTTACGTTTAGTTGTTTGTTTTGGTTGGTACTACTCTCTCCATGTTTATGGGATTTTAACCTCTTCAGCGATAAGTTCTTTTTTATACCATCTGACCACGGGCATTAATACATGTCCAGAAGTTTGTTCAATATCTGCTTTGTAGCTGTCTTGTAGCTGTTTTGTAACCAATTTCGTTGAGAAACCACCCCTTTCTCTTAAAAAAACCCTGATGTGAACAGGTAAAATATTTTAATGAACTCTTTTATAGATATTTATATATTGATTATTGTCGACTGAAATTGTTAGAGTGTACTTGATTTTGCTTGGCATTTTTCGTGTTCAAATGTGAGGCAGTGCACCTTCTCTAGAGTTTACTCCGTAATACTGATCATGATTTTGATTTTTGAGCAGCCATAACTTTTTTACTTTAGTACATTTTTTTATTTACCTTTTCTTGTAAAAAATGTCCATGTATGGTTCCTCAAGTTCGAGTGTTTTAAAGTTTTGTCTCACAAAGAGAATAGAGAGTAGATTTTTAAGCAGTCTTTCTCTAGGGCTTTTTAGGACCGTACATTTTGACTACGAGGCAAGCAGCCTCTACCTTGTGAAGTTCCTTGCGTCTACTGGCCACAGCGCCTGGTGACTTGAGTGGAGGAAGACCGCCCTCAAGGTGAGTTTAGGTTTTGGTACTATATTTGTAAAAGAGAGTGTTGTTTAATTGTTTAATATATTGTTTTTTTAAATATCTTGTTTTATTTGTCTATACAATTAATTAGGTTATGCCATTCCATTAGATTTTTTCTTTTGTGTAGGTGGTCAAGCAAAACAAGTTCCGGCTAACATCTCGGGGATTTGAGTCACTGGCACTCTTAACCGCCCCTACTCTCCGCTTGATAGAGTTAGTGCCTAAATTTGCACGTCACTAGACAGCTATTTTGCTTTGACTCGCCATTTCGTTTTATTCATCGTGTTTTATTAATTTATTAATAAATTACAAAGTAAAAGGAAGGAGGAAACACCACCATTTCCTTTTGTTCATAAAGAAGGCATGGCAAATGTAAACAGACACTATAATTCTGTCGTGAACTATATATTTTCGTATATTGATGTCAGATTGCCGCAAGGCGTACAATTTCGTCAGACATTTTTGCTCGATTCTGCAGATCATCTGATGACAAATGTGACAAGTGTATGTGACTACATATTGCAGACAATATTGCCAAGATACAGTCGAGATATATAGGGTGTCCCAGAAGTCGACGTTAAGCCGGATACGGAGGATAGGCCAAGTCATATAGTGGATACCAAATAAAATCCGATGCACGTCATAGGTGATGTCATTCATAAAAATCATGGTTACCAACAGTTGACTATATTCAATGTGACATTTCTACTTGAAGTTTAAATTTCCCCGTCTCGATTCGGTTGGTAGTGCCGTGCAGAGAAATGTGAGGTTGCCACTTCTCATTTGTTGACATCAGTTGCCATTGTCCTTTTGTCGTACTATTAGTTCTTTATTGTTTAGTTTGTGAGTTTTGCGCTATTTGAGCTTTGAATCGTTGCCTTGCCAATTAAAAATTGTTCTTTTCAGAACAACAGTTACTGTGAAGTGGTGTAAAGTATCCAAAATGCCAAAACAACTTAACAGTCGGTGTAAAGAGCTCATATCATTGAATATCTACCAAAATCAGGTGTTTTTATTCAGAAAGGAATTTAATTTTACAACAAGTTTATTTATTTTTAATATAATGGTATTATAGTAAATGGTAGGTATATATAAACAATTTATTTTATTAAATTTATTTGCTTAAAAGAAAATGTGCAAATTCTGACAACAGCGCACAGCTCCAGATCGATGACGTGCATCGGGTTTTATTTGGTATCCACTATAATAGTTAACAGGAAAATATAAAAATCTAAGTCGTGTCCTTTTCAAATTATAGACTTTAAAAAAGCATTGAAAAAATCGGAGAAATTTACATACTGTGATATTCTATTTTAGGACCCATTACTGCAGATTTAATTTTTTTTCTTAGACGAAATGACGGACAGTGTCATTCTACGTAGTGACAGCAAGACGCCAGTTTTATTAATTCATGTTTGCTCAGCTAGGGTATATCGTGACATGTACACAAATGCTGCTCGTCATCCCGATCACATAGTTTATTCCCAAATCAAGCACATGGTGAAGGAAGAATTTCCTTTCCTTGCGAGGAGGTCGTACTACAAGCAGTCGAAGAAGACCTGAGTACTTCAGTACGTCAAATAGAAGCTAGCAAGGGTGTGTCCAAAACTACAGAATAATAAATCTTGCGAAAGAACCAGCTTCACCCGTACCCCGGATAGCGGGTACACTCTCTATAACCACGGGATGATCTTCCAAGATAAATAGACTGTTACAGAGACACCAGGCCGATCCGCGATTTTAGAGAAAATTTTATGGATTGATGTGTCGACGTTTGAAAAAGATGGTTACATGAATCTAATCGACTTACACGAACGTAGAAAATCTACATTTGATGAGAAAAGATAAATCACAGTATCGTTTTAAAATATCCATGAGGACCGAGATTCTAAATGGGAGAATCATTGCACTCTTTGAGTTTCCAGAGTTGTTGAATGGAAAAACTTATTTAGACTTTCTAAAAAATTTTGTTTGTTTGTTTAAGATTTACTTAGCATGATTGCTACAATTACATTCTTTTAAACAACAATTACATAACATACAGATATTCAGAAAAAAAAACAAAATTTGCAACTCTAAGAATTTTCATTGTCCATGAAATATTCCTTTAATTTTCTTTTAAATATCTTTAAATTACAAGTAGACTTTATATCATTATTTAGTTTATTAAATTCAAGTAATCCTTTCTGAAATATTGATTTGCTAGTTATATTACTATTGCAATTTTGTAAATGGAAATCTATATTTCCTCTTGTATAATAATTGTGGCAATGATTATTAAATTCTATGTAGTGTTCTAAATGTTCTGGCAAAATATGATTTTTTATTTTAAATATAAAAATAACCAAATATGATATGAAATTTCTTATATTCAACCACTGCAATTCTTGAAACATAGATTTTATTTTGGAGTACTTATTTTTATTCAATATTATTCTCATAGCTTTATTTTGCAAGACTTGTAATTTTGAGAATACAGCTTCATTGGCAGTGAACAAGATAGTTGAACAATATAGTAAATGCGGTAGAATAATTGTATTATAAACTATTTTCTTGGAATAGGTACCAAGACTATGAGAAGCCCTATAAAAGTAATTTGTTTTTTTTTTTGGCAATTTTAGTTTACTATCAATATACTATATACCTAAATGTTTAATTGATTCAGCATTGTTAATTACTTCTCCATTTATCCTAACTGTGATAGTATTTTCATTTAGGTATTTCCCTATTAGCATACATTTTGTTTTATAAGTATTCAATTTTAGTTTATTTACATTTAACCAATTTACGATTTTTGCCAAGTCAGAATTTAGCATTTTTTAAGCAGTGTCTATATTTTCATATGATACGAGTATGTATATTAATGTATCATCTGGAAATATCTGAAGTTTACAATAATCTAAAATATTACAAATGTCATTAATGTATAAAATAAATAGTAGTGGACCTAGTTTACTACCTTGTGGTATACGAACAGAAATATTTTTTGATCTTATTGGAAGACGGGTTACTAAGCATTTACAGAGACATGTGGTACCAGCAAGTCAACTGCCCGGCGCACAATACCCATTCAGTTAGAGAATATCCTCATGCGGAATACCCGAGAAGATGGAAAGGACAGTCTGGTACAATTTTGTCGCCAGCACGTTCACCTGACTTAAATCCACTCTATGTTTTTACTGGGGAGCGGCGAAAGACAATGTTTAATCGAAAATTTATCTGAGCTACGAGACAAAATAACGGAAGCAGTCGAATTTGTTAATAACGGATAATTCGCCTGCTATAACCCGATCATTTTTAGGAAGATGTCAAGCTTGCTTTGCTGCTAAAGGAAGGCAGTTTGAACATTTATTGGGAATTTAATAAATACATTAACTCAAATCAATAAAGTGGAGTTACTATCAGTCTTGCTGTCACTAGGAAGAATGACAATGTCCGTTACTTGGTCTAAGAAAGAATTGAAATTTGTAGTAATGGGAACTAAAACCTCATCACAGGGTATAGATTTTCCAGTTTTTTATAAAGCCTATAATTTGAAAAGTACACTACTTACATGTTTTGTTGATAACTATTATGACTTGGCCTGTTCCCGTTTCTGGCTTGATGTCAACTTCTCGAATCATGATGAATGACCCAGATATTGCAAGAAAAATATAGCTCATTTAGACGGCCCATAACCTTTACTTATTCTAAAACTGCTCACCCAAGAACCCTTAACCCACACCAAAATATGCAAAATGCTCCCAAAACTCTTAAGGATAACGAAAATGAAGGTGATGTGCATAAGAAAGTGAATGTGCAAGAAGATGAAGAACAGTATGTAGACATGTGCGAAGTTAAAGTTGAAGAAATTTCTTTTCTTTTTACCTGACTAGAGATGCAGCAGTTCCATCAATTGGAGACCCGTTAAGCAGAGAAGGACCAGCAGATATCGGTCGAATCTTAAAAATACAGACGCAGGGTAAAAACTCAAGCGAGGACGCAGATTTTGTTGAAAAAACATCAAAATACCTGATAAGAAATAAGTAAAAACCAAAATTTATTAAATAATTTTTGGAGATAATTTAAACTCCTGATATCGTACGAGGTGCAAATGGCGGAAGCATCGGTTTGGGATACTGGAGTTGTGAGTTCGAATCCCATCGACTAAAATTTTTTTTTTCGATTCTGTAAATTGCGAATAGATTTTTGTTGCATTTTATGTTTTGCTATTTATAGCTATAGCTATTTGGATATCATTAAAGACACTGGATAGATAATTTGTACTTTTTGATATAAGATTTTTTTGGCGTTTTCTATAAATTACTGTGGAAAAAGGCATACAATTATAAAATTAGTTTGATACAAACTCAAGCCTCAAAACTTCAAACTTCACAGAAAGAGAGTATGTAACTGTTATAACGAACCCATGAAAAAAAAATTACATTTTGAATTTGAATATTGTGTTAACCAATCAGCCAAAACGCCCAAAAATTAGCAATTGAAATAATTCAACTTACTCGTTCAGTTTGTGTGGCAGCATTGCACATTTGACAGTCAGCTGTCACTGACGCAGGTGCAGAGTTTGCGTGATAGTTTTCATTTGACAGTTTGATCATCTGTTCTTGCATGGACTGAATCGTTGTTTCTCTGTCTTCTATTTGCCCTTGCAGGAACAGCACCTGCAAAAGTTCGAAAAAACAATATGAATAAAGTATGATACATGATGTTTAAAAAGTAAGTTGCAGACTCCCCCCCCATGTCGAAAAATACTTAACAAATAAAAAAATGATCAAAGCAAAGTTAGCTTCCAAATCACTTTGAGGTCACGATCAAGGTCAAGTTTAGAGCGACTTTAAAACGTAAATTTTTCCGCTCTTTCCATTGGTAGGGTAAAGAAGGAACGGTTCCATTTGAAGTTGTCAACTTATCTTCTAATTGACCTTGAAGTCCATTTTCAAGGTCACGGCCAGAGGCTTTACTAAATTGTGTTGTTTGAGCAGCGCCCTATATAATATGGAGGTAGTATCACTTTTTTATACGTCTTTAGAAGTTTAATGTACGTGCAGTGGCAGCACTGTAAAGTTGACAGCCGTTTTGGAGGATCCACTTTCTCGAAAAGCAGCTTGCAAGTGGTCGTATTATTTTTTGTCTTATCCTTTTTATGTCCGAGTGACGAAAATTGTTGTTTGAGTACCTGTTTCCTTAATTCAGCCATTTCGAATTTGGCCTTGGTGCCACTATCATCTGATTCGTGTAAGCTGTCACAATTTGACGCGGTGTCAGGGTATGGGCTGCTGAAGATCCCATTGCTCAGAATCGTCTGGCTATCCAATGGGTTGTGAGTTTCAGACTGAAACAGATAGTAAAATATTCAGATATCTCTGAGATCAAAGTTGTCATTTTTTGTACATATACGTAATTATTAATTGAAAAGCAAAATTAAAAAGAAAATGTGCACTCACCCTCATCAAAACATCTTCGTCCGCCTGAGCAAAATGTGAAAAGTAAAACGTATCATGCAACAAAAGAAACAATGTTAAACACAGAAAAAACATAAAGTGATGAAACATAAAATCACGACAATTCACAAAAAGTAATATAAACAGTGGAAAAGCAACGATATATAATAATAATAAAAATATTTGCAGTTAAAAAATTACATAGGATACAAAACAGAGAAAAGACAAATCGCAGTTACTGCAAAATGGACCAGCAAACAGTCTAAGATTGATCAAAGTACTGGCCCAGTGACAAAACAAAACAGAGAACACATTTTTATAGCCGACTACGTATAATACAATTTTAACCAGTTCGTTCCAAAATGACAAAAAAAGATAAACAAAATCGAAGCATAATATGTTTCTGTAATCAAACTTTAACTTAAAACTCATACCCAGATGAGAAGGACAATACAGGACAGACTCAATTAATGTTGCTCCAAAAGAAATTTCTTTTGAAAGCTGACACTGATATGGACTTAAAGTCTATGGGAACGTGGTTGTACAAGCGATAAACAGAGTGTGAAAATTATCTACTGAACATTGCAGTACGATGTGGTGGTTGAGAAATGAGACCTCTGAACTGGACATTGACATTGTGAACATCACTACGGAATGTAATTTCATTATACAGGGTGGCCCATAAGTCCTTTGAGCTGGAAAAAAAGGAATAAAACCAAACTAGTTACATTATGAAGAATTATTATATTTTGTTATCATCTTTATTGAATGGGAATTATGTTTTAAAAATCACATCGTCTAAATGCAATCCATTACGATCACGGCACTCATATAAACGACGTCTAAAATTGTCGATGACTGCGCGGCAAGTCAACACTGTAATGCTTGCCATTTCTCTTCGGATATTTTCTTTCAGGACATCAACTGATCGCGGAGTGGTGTCGTACACTTTACTCTTGAGGTAGCCCCATAAAAAGAAGTCCATTGGGGTCAAATCTGGACTACGTGGTGGCCAGGAAATGTCTCCTCTTCGAGAAATTACTTTGCTGGGAAAAAGTTGACAGACGACGGGCATAGAAGTGTTGGAGGTGTGGGCAGTTGCTCCGTCCTGTTGAACCCGGGTCTGCGTATTATAGCCTGGAAAATTCTGCAACGCTGGTGTCAAAAACTCTTCTATCATTGCTACATACCGCTCCGAAGTAACAGTTAATGCGCGACCTCTGTCGTCCTCAAAAAAATAAGGACCTACGATGCCATGCGCTGACATAGCAGCCCAAACTGTAACTTTAGGGCTGTGTAAGGGCTTCTGATGCTTACGCCTTGGATTTTCGGGGCTCCAATAACGGCAATTTTGTTTATTTACATGCCCGTTTAAATGGAAGTGAGCCTCGTCCGAGAACAACACATTATTGAGCGAAGAAAATCGATTCAACATTTCATTCGCAAAGTTTAGTCTCTGAATAGCGTCATTATCTTTTAATTCCTGCACTAACTGAATTTTGTAAGCGTGCAGACGTAAATCTTTCCTTAAAATCCGCTGTAAAGATGTTCTGGGTACGTTTAGTGCACTGGAACGCTTACGAGTAGACTGGGTAGGATTTTGACGAACAGACTGTGCCACAATGTTGATGTTTTCTTCAATACGAGTTGTCCTTGGTCGACCCCACCGCTGTTTATCTAACGTCGAACCAGTCTCTTCGAACTTAGCAACCCAGTTCTTAATCGTTTGAGCTGTCGGACACTTTGTAAAATTGTGTAAATTGTGGTATTCTCGATATTTACGCCGCGCAATGGTTGCCGAATCATTATTTTGATAAAACGCGCGCACACAAAAAGCACGATCCGCTCCAGTGAAACACTCCATGGCGACTGAATTCCCAGACACTGAAGATACTGCCCCCACCTCGCCCGCGCCGCTCACGCTCACCCGTTAAATTTTATTCAAATTTGAAATTTCAAAGGACTTATGGACCACCCGTATACCTAAGTACGGCGGAGTTCCATATAAAATAATCTTATGAAAAATTACTGCAGAATAAAAAATGTTATAAAAATATCAAAGTAATTTGAACAGCTTTTGCATTTCTTACACCGAAGCAGCCGCGCAGGCAGAAGCCCAAATACCAGGGCACCGCGGTTGCTATGAGGAGCTTGAAAAAAAAATGTTGATATGATTTTTGAACTGCCTAAGATTAGCAGAACTGGGAAAAGTCTCCTCTTGTATCGGTCACTTCTGGATGTACAAAGTTCGTCACGGTTAGGATGGGAGGCCGAAGCCAGGCGGGTCTGTCTGGCAGGCACAACTAGGGCGGCATCATGCAGGAGAGTTATAAGGAGCTAAGCCGTAGTGGTAGAATTAAGCTAGATCATCGACTGCCCATCGGTACGAAAGGGTCCCGAGACTGTCTGTTAGAGCCCCCTCTGAACCGCATCGAGCATGGATAAATTAGTCGGAGCAGCAGCATCTCAAAAATGTGAGCAATAATCAAGGCTAGGTCTTAACTGGGCCTTATGCACAGTGAGGAGATCATGTGGATAAAAGTATTTCTTAGCCCTAAATGAATACACTAGCTTTTTCCCAGCAGCTGCAGCTATTGACGATATGTTTTCGTGTCAGAGCAAGTTCTCTGTGATATGGATTCCGACCAGCCGAAATGATCAGTTCTTTGGTGGAACTCAGCCATCCATCGACACCGGATGAGTGCTCGGCCAGTTTTTGTTCGTCAAGGTACAGTACTCTGATTTGGAAGCATTAAACCGTACAAATTGAAGGTAAATAAATTGACTGTCCTATTGTGTCACCCATAGTTGTGCCATTGCAACAAATAAATAAGGTTGTATTCCTCATATGTAGGTTTACTTAAGCATGGCGGCGCTAAAATTAACGCCCAAGAAAAACGTATTCATAAAGTACAGCTCACTAATGGACTGACATACCATGCTTCTAAGGAAAATGCCAACAATTGTTTTCGTTCAGGGCATGAAGCGGTCTTTTTATAATACCATTTTTTTGAAAGCAATAACTCTGTCTTTTCTCTAATCTTTTCTGCGTTTGATAGATATGATCCTATTTTACCTCATTCAATACCCTCTTAAGCTTGACAAGCATCGCCTTCACCCCGAGTATATCCTGCTTGACGGCCTGATGCGCTGCTCTGTCCAATCGAAGCGAATCTCCGCCTCCGTCTGAATCGTATCCGCCCGAAGCCCCGCCCACTGCCGCGTTAAGCATGGCCCTCCTACGCGCCGGAGAATCAGGTGCCGACAGCGGCGTCAGGGGCGTGCTGGCTCGGGATCGAAGTAGGCGGGCGCGAGGAGCGGCGATTGAGGAGGCGGCAGTGCCGCTGGCGGCGCTAACCATGCTCGTTTGGCTGCCGCTGTTGCTGAAAGGAAAAAAGATGTTCAGTAACGGTGATCAAGAAACTAGAAGAACGTTGGTATTGATAGTAAAGTACATTTGAATGGAATACATTCGTTATTTCTATTACTGCACATATTCAGGGGCGGATCCAGGAGGGTGTCTGGACCCCCTAAACATTTTCCCACCTGAACATGAATTCTGAGCAGTTTTTGAGCGGGTTATTTGAAACTAAAAAAATCCTGAAATTTTTGAAAATCGCGCAAATTTGGAAAATATTGGAGATTTATAAACCTATGATGACAACTGGTACAGTTACTGTGAAATGCAACTGTTAATTCCTCTCTTAAGTGTTTTTAAGGGAACCTTTATTATTTGCTTTAAATCCAAGGAAAGATTATTTCTCAAACGGAACAACTATAAATGTGGACTACCCGCCATTGAACAAACTAAACTTGCTGCTTTCATCCGTCAGACTATGAACAGCCAACCACGGACCGTTTGGCAACTCATCAGCATGGTCTAGGCAAAGAGTAGTTAGACAGACAAGGCAAATAAAATTAGAGAGAGATAAGAGATGACTCCAAGAACATGGCGTTTAAAAATGCGTTGTTACCAGATATAATACTTTCTGAATGCGCATTGAGCATCACTTGTAGTGAACGCATTTTTTGTTCAAATTTACTTTTGTTTGGACATTTATTCATGGTGATATTTATCATCCATTTGCAACCTACGAAATATATTTTTCTTTCAATAAAGTTACATATCACACTTTTCGCGAGTGAAGTTCTTTTCAACCCGTGTAAGTTATCTCATACTTATTTATCTTTTACGGTCCTACTTAATAATAAAAGAAGTACGTCAGCTTGAAATTGTAACGTTTTATAACCTCAAATTGCTCATCTTACCAACCGTAGGTCTATTTGACATGGTCGCGAGTTATCTAGATAGCTTGGACTTTGAGTCGATATATTATTTCGTTTGACTTTTTGATGAACTACCAAAAACAGTGAAAAGAGCTGAACTCCATTCTGCTTAGTATTAATGTAGCGTTTTATAAATATTTTATGGCAGCTTGGCAACACCGCCTCGGTAGCCAAGGATGATCCTCACATACAGTATATTCAGATAAGAGATAGACCGGATGTAAACAAAAGGTTCGGGTGATTTTCACGCTAACGCCGCCGTCTCGACGTAAAACAGGAGCCCTCATTGGTCAATTCGCAATTAAATGCCTATGCCGAGCGGCAGAGCAGTCGTATCAAGGCAGAGTCACATTCAGGTTCAGACGTGTTACGTATGTCGTGTGCATCATTGCAATTTGATATTTCTTTGGACGTTTTCGTTTGTTATCTTATTAAGTTGTTGAGTTTGTCGTTGTTATTGTTATACCTTGTTATTGATTGTTATTGTTATCAACTGCTTGCGCAAAATGCCCAGTAGTACACATACTGCCGATGAAGTTGTAAACTCCTGTAGTCCACCTAGGAAACGCTCTAAAAAAAGACACCTGAGTGCAGAAATGAAAGAGGTCATTTTGAATATATATAAGATCGAGCGCGAGGAGAACGAGGCATCAACCATCAAAGAAATTGTTGTGAAGGTTTCTCACAAAGTTGGGGTGTGTCGCGCATCAGTGTTTAATGTGTTAAGACAATACAAAAAAATCACACCTTTTCTGAGCCAATGACCAGTAAACATCGCAAAAGTATTGTTACATCATTGGATGAAGCTGATAAGCATGCGATTAGGAGGAAAGTGCATGAATTCTTCTTTAGGAATGAAATACCTACTATAGATAAAGTACTGCAGGAGGTAAATGGAGATACAACGTTGCCAAATTTCAAACGATCAACTTTCCATGCGTTACTGAAGCATTTAAATTTCAAATGGAAAAAACGGGGTCGTACTAGTTTACTACTGGATAGAGAAGAAATTGTGCTATGGAGGAGGGATTATTTAATAAAAATTGGGAAATATAGAAATCAAAACAGGAAGATTTATTACCTTGATGAAACGTGGGTAAACGCAGGACACACTACAAGTAAAGTATGGGTTGATGATTCTGTAACTTCATCCAGGAGAACCTTTCTAGATGGACTGTCCACCGGATTAAAAAATCCAGCAGGTAAATACGAGTAATAGACAACAATCGGATGTTTTTCAAACCTTGGGAACAAGCTTCTAAACATTAATTCCAGGGGGCAGATAAAACATATTACAAGTAACAAAACCTTTATAACTTTCGATAAAATGCGTGGATGTTTTATTGTCATTTTCATTTGTTAGAACTTTTTTAAGCCATGTTTTTATGTGTTTTCGATATTTCAATAATTTTTTAATATAATCTTAAAATATGTCGAATATTATAAACTTAAAAAAAGTTACTAAGTTTTATATTGTGTACTGTTCCTAATATTTCTAATCATTTTAATTCATACTTTAAGCTTTATAAAGTTATAATTTGTTAATATTAATATTTGCGCGTATTTCAGGTTCCTGATCATTCATTTTTTAAAGGTTTATAACTTTAAATTAAATTGTGAAGCGCTGAGTAATCATACGACGTTCAATATTCTTTCTTTCAATATGACTAAATAATCCCAATTATAGCAATCTGATACTCATGTCTCAATGTTTTTTCGCTAAATGTGATGAAAACATTTGAAAAAGGTTCGCTTATTGAAATAAATCTACACCAGTTAGTACTTCGATTTCCAGGTAAAGGGAAAAGGCTCATTATCTGCCATATTGGCAGTGAGGATGGATTTGTTGTTGACGGTCTGTGGTGCTTTGAGTCTAAGAAAACTGGAGATTACCACGAGGAAATGAATGGCGAATCGTTTGAACAGTGGTTTTCAAAAATTTTACCGAACTTAGAGGAAAACGCAGTAATTGTGTTGGATAATGCGCCTTGTCATTCTCGAAGAATGGAGAAGGTCCCAACAACGGCTTCAAGGAAAGTTGATGTTCAAAATTGGCTCCGCTCGAAAAATATCAACTTTGAAGAAGCAATGCTGAAAGTACAATTTTAAAGAATTGTCAAGGAGCACAAGGCGGAATATCAAAAATACGCCATTGACGAAATGGCAGCAAGTCAAAATAAAACTGTGCTCCGTTTACCTCCATACCATTGCGAGCTCAATCCCATTGAGCTCATATGGGCAGAGGTTAAAAATTATATAGCTAAGCATAATACAACTTTTAAATTTTGTGACCTCAAAGGACTTTTCAAAGAAGCACTAGAATTAATTACAGCGCAAAAATGCGAAAACTGTATTAAGCCCGTGAAAGACAAAGTTGAAAAGAGAATGTGGGAACTGGACAATATTTTAGAGGAACAAGTCGAGCCATTCATTATTGACGTTGGTGCTTCAGGCAGTAGCGATGATGAAAGCTCATCAAGCTCATCTTTCCAATAAAAGATGTCGTTCATCAAATTCGGTAAGTTATAAGTAATTATAAAGCTACTGTATTTTTTAATTAATTATTGACATTTTTGAACCCATTTTGGCAAAACCTATTCAAGAATCTACTTTCTGACAATGTTCAACCATGCACATTTTTTACGTTTTGAACGTTTTAATTTGGTTACATATTTACCTAGAAATCAAAAAATATACTAATCAATATTCTAAAAGCAATTTTAAGAGATATACGATTATTTTTAATTTAGGCTAATTTAAACGCCATTTTGAGATTATATTCGACTGTATTTCACCAAACATCAGGCGGCATCCGAAGCTGGAAATCGAAGCGAAAATTTTGAAACCCTTATGTATATTTACATCATTATATATTTCTTACCCCACCCCCACATGATCCTATATCCATCACCAATCGTATACACATCGAATTGTGCTAATTTACTACAAAGTTACGCAAAGCAGCATCTACTATCTAAAATATGTAATGCGTGACTCTTAATACGTCCCTGTCGAATGTTACAGCGTTCGATGATCACGTGGTCTTGTTTATGTCCGGTCTATCTCTTATCTGAATATACTGTAGTATCAATGAAAAAGCCTGTAACAGCTGTCCATGGTTGGCTTTCGGTCGTCTGACTGACTTAAGCAGCATAACGAGACTATAAAATTAGTGCGGAATTAACGTATTTTCTCTTACTATTTAGGAACATTCGTGTATCCATCTAGTTTTCTGCCTGAAGAAGGCGATCTTTTAAACCTCAGTTCCGTAGTTCTGTTCGTTCTAATTATTGGTCCATTTTTATTCATGCTTCAATTGCTTCTTCACGGATAGTGGTCATCGATGTCCGCATTATATCTTCATTAACTCAAAGTTGCTACCAACATGTAATTAGTAAGCGGTCGAGAAAATATTTAATTTCAGATATTTACATCGTAGTAGAATAGTTGTTATCAATTGCAACGGCCAGTTGAATATCGATGCTAAGAAAATTGTTTCAGTATCATTTTTCTGAGACCAGAAGAAACTTTAGGCTAGAGTCATTGATACTAGAAGAGATTTTTAGAAAAAGAAGCTCTAATACTATATGTATATCCTTTGCCAAGACAGAAGATAGTCAACAACGACTAGTGACATATACAATGCAACACCCAGAATTATTGATTGATTTTTGATAAAAGCTTGTAAACATATTTGCTATCATGGAAGTATACGCTGATAAAATGTTGAAGGCATTCCGATAACGAAGTTAATCTGGTTGTTACGCTGTTTGACTGACATTGTTCAGTCATTACAGGGAATAACTGAAATGCTTAGTCACACGTAAGGTACCTGTACCAAATAAGGCCTCATTAACGTTTGGATAGCTGTAACTGCGTAAATATTTGCGAAACGACCTTGAAATTTTAAAGGTATTATTGTAGATATGTTTATTACACAAGCTACATCGGAGAACTCGGAGACCTTTTCTTTTCATATAAAAAAAATATATTTTTCGAAACACTACCGTTAGCCTTATTAGGAACCCATGTATCCAAATAAGGCCACCATCTGGTTTTCAATAAAACCACAATCAAAATGTAAATCAAGACTGTA